GTAAGGGGGGCATGAGAAAAGGGGGATTGTCGCTCCGATTTTTCGTCCCTTGGCGGGGAACAGAGAGTAGAAGTAGTTTGGTCTAAGCTCCGTGCAAGGTAACCCGATCCGTGTTATCCGATCGACGAAATCCATTCGAGTCCCGAGTCCGAAGGGAATTTTTTTAAAAACGATCTATACATTCCAGAGTCATCTCTTTGCCATTGAAATTACAAGACTGAACGGAAACAACGAAACTCTATTCTTGCGAGGATCGCAATTCTTTTTAAGACGAGGCTAGAATTTTAGAGGACGAATCCGCGTTGCAACGGGGGAGGATTATTATTTATTATATGCGTTTGTTTAGACTCGATTCTCGGTTTATAGATTCGTGAGAATAATTAATTCGAGAATTGATTAGAATTATTCTGTAGCACAAGATATGGTAATTTTGAATTCTCTAATTTTTCCATGGAAACGATAATATTTCGTAGAAGATTTCGCTTTAAATATTACTTCTGACTTCTAAATTATATATTATATTATATTATAATATTATATATTATATTATATTATATTATATTATAATATTATATATTATATTATATTATAATATTATATATTATATTATATTATATTATATTATAATATTATATATTATATTATAATATTATATATTATATTATATTATATTATATTATAATATTATATATTATATTATAACATTACTTTGACTTTAAATATTACTTTTGACTTCTTTTGACTTTCTTCTTCTAGCGTTACATTTGCGAAACTGGGCGGCCAGCCTCGCAGAATTGGCGATTCTCAAGAATGAACAACGGTGTTAACACGTTTCGTGCCGAGCTGTTTTTACTCTGGCCATTTGATATTTCATGAATTAATTTCCACCATTTTTACGGTGGAAATTAATTCTTCAATTTGCTATAAACAATTTCGCGGGCGCATTAAATATAATCATGTACCGTAAGTGGTACACACAGTGGCGCCGGAACGTGTTAATCCACTTGCATCATCGGCGAGATATAGAATTGTTCCGTATCGAAGCAACTCCATCGAAAGAAGCTCCTGTCTTTCGTCTCTCGCGGGAGCGAGGAAAAGAAACAATTTATTGCCGCGACAACTGTAAAGTAGCTTTCGAGCAACGCTGCGCAAAGCAATTGTTGGCGAGCACGTTAAGTTTCATTGTCCCTTGCGACGCGAATCGGTTTTGAAAGAGTCGCGCGCGCGCGCGCGCGAGCCGTTTACCTTGCACGGAAAAGAGAAAAAGAGGGTGGTCGAGACGTGTAAAATAGAAAAAAAAATAAAGAACGAAGCAATGGATCCTGCGTGTCCTGGCATGGCAGTCGCCGCGTTACCGGCGGAGCAGCTAGCTGAAGGGGGGGGGGCACCTTTATCGAGAGAAGGCTGGGCAAGGACATCGCCGGAATCTTCCTCCGGGACCTGAATTAAGAATCGATAGAGGAACGGGGTTGTAAATCTGCCGGCGACTCGCGGGCTCCTGCGGCGAGACATTCGAGGGGAAACGAGACCTCTTTGGAGAATGGGAGCCGCCGTTATCGGCGGCTCCCGATGCGGCGGTGGGCATCGAACAATGCGAGCCAATGATATCGAGATATCGCCCGAAACGAGCTACAATATCTCGCGACGGCCCTCTTCTTATTCGCGCGGCAACCGATTCAGACAATTAGACCGGGAGCACCGGTGAAATTTCCGCGGGATATCGAATTGGCAAAGAATTCGCGGCGGATTTGCAAAGAATTTGCAGGGAATCGGCGAAGACTCGTAAACAATTGCAAAGAATTCGCGGCACGAGACTCTACCAGAGCCAGAGAGAAACACTCGCGGGAACATGACGATGCGGCGAAATCTCCGCGGTTGGGTTCTCGATAAACATACGTGAATATGTTATATCGTTAGGGTGAGAAAGCACAGGGCCGATTGGACGGCTCGCGTGCGGACGATTCGAGGCCTGATCGGTCAGTGGGCTGATCGATTGGTCCGATCGATTCGGGGCCAGCCTTTCGGGCGGATTGGTTTTCTCTTTCTAAGAGCCGGACACTCTAACTCCGATCGTTGCATCGGAGAACAATGCAACGCAAGTCTCCACAGGGGCGAGGAAGATACAGTAGTTATATATATATACATAGCGTATATATATATACGTTGATATAATCATAACATGTATGTATATATATATATTTTTTGTATATTGGTATTACTTTAGCTTTCGTTTCTATGAACGGTGGTCGTCGATCACGAGCAGAGCTATATTTATTATAAACGTCTCGTGAACAGCGTTAAGCTCGCCGAGAACGGACTCGAACTCGTAAATCTTTTGCCATGACGAGCTACCGTGATCCTCTCGGTCAGGTGTTTTTAATCGAAGACTAGTCCTAAGCTCTCAGGTAGCTCTCGCTTCTCTATCGTCGTCGTCTCGGAGGCGCTCTCTCTCGACGATTATAGAAACTCGTGGTGGTGTGTCTCTCGCGAGGCAGGTGAGAAGAGGTGAGAGACGACACCGAGAACTGTCGGGAGATGCTGGTGGTTTGAACAAAGATACTCGCAGTAGGTATGTTTTTTTGCAAGAAGAGATAGTAAAACAGAGTGAAGAAAATATATATCGTATAGGCAAAGAAGAAGATGACGCAGTGACGGGAGACTCACCGATGAAGAGGAAAAAGATGAGCAAGCCGAGCTCCCTCATGGAGGCCTTGAGCGTACGGCCGAGGATCTGAAGGCCTTTACTGTGCCTGGACAGCTTGAATATCCGGAACACCCTGACAAGCCTGATGACCCTGAGTATCGCCAGGGACATGGCCTGGTTCGTGCTCTTGTCCTGCGGGCTTACCGGCGCCTTCGGCAGATCGATCGCTTCCCCATCCTCGGCCATTACGGTGCCGAGCGTGATGAAGTAAGGAATGATCGCGATGATGTCGATGAAGTTCATTACGTCACGGAAGAAGTTCAGTTTGTTTGGACAGGCGAGGAAGCGCACCGATAACTCGAACGTGAACCAGATGATACAAATAGTCTCTATTAGGAAGAACGGGTCCGTGATGTCCGGCACTTCGTCCTCCTCGATCTTCGTGCCGTTCGTCGTCGTGTTGAAGACCTTGTAGTGCTTGAACTCGGGCAGGGTCTCCAGGCAGAATATCACGATCGACAGGAGGATCACGACCACGGATATTATGGCGACCACCCGGGCGCCCTGCGAGCTCTCCGGGTACTCGAACAACAGCCAGACCTTCCTCTGGAGCTCGTGCGTCGGCAGCGGCTTCTCCTCCTCCTTGATGAACCCTTCGTCCTCCCTGCGGCAACAATTTTCATTCTCAAATGCGCAAACACACCCGACCGACAACCGGCGAGCCTACGTTCGTTACCGTACGTCGCGCTACTACCCGCCAGGCATTCGCGTCCCAAAAACAAACGAACTTCTTTCAGCCAACCGTTACTTCTTCAACGTTCGAATCGATTAACACGCACGTTGGTAAGCCTCCGACGAGACAACATCAGCTTTCTGGGACCCAAATACCCCGCAGTGCATCGCCCGAGAGAGTATTTCGTTTTCTCTACCACTAGTGACTAGACCGAGCAGCTTTATGCAATTCTAAACCAAATTCAATCTTCAGCTTCTATATGAATTAGTCGCATTATTTACATTCTTTTAACCCTTAACCGAACTACGAATTACTGCCAGCTATATAGATTCAACAAATAACGCATAAATATGCAATTTAGTAAATTTACGTCGAAACGTAGCGAACTTGACAAGTTAACAGAGGATCGCGTGGATTTTTATGGAATTACATCAACGTATATTAATGACGACTTGTTCAAAGTTGCCGCGGTCCCCATAATCCGGTTAAGGGTTGATTTCCATTGGCCGTTTCTCATAGATGTTTCGATCGCGTCGAACACGTTCCGCGATTCACGGTCATCAAAATAAAAAAAAAGAACGTATTGAAAAGAGTCGAATATGATGACGTTTTCGAACGTTTTCCCAACTGCATTTCGCACGCATAAAGCTCCACGGTCTGCTAAGTTAGCTGCAACTACTGAAAGAAAGGGAACGTGTGTGTGTGCGTGTTCGTCGAAGTCGCAGGTCCGACGAGAACGTCTCGCGATCACGGCTGCTTCTCTTGCGTCAAAAATTCTTAGGGGAAACCCGGTGGCCGTTCTCCGGCCCGAAAACCCGTCGACAATTTCTGGTGCAAGATAGGCAGCCCTCGCTCCAAAATGTGTTTTGCGACCCGCGGCTTCGACGAAACGGAGATCTGAAGAGTTCTAGGGTCAAGCTAACGTTACAAAGAAATAATGGAGGTAAATTGTTTTTTACCTTCAGCCTCTTCTTTAATGCTTTTACACCAAGAAAAGAGAAACTAGACAACGATATTGTTCTTTCTTTTTTTTTTTCTTTCTGTGCGACCTCGAGGACCATCCCGACCGTAATTCCGTCCGCCGTCCGACCAGAACGGTCACTTCCACTGGCCGCAGTAGTAGAAGCAACCATCGAGTCCGGGCGACGCACAAAACGACGAACAGTTTCCCCAGAAATCCTGATTCCTGGTTCGGAAACCGGTGTACTCTTCTTGTGCCACGATGTACTGGGTGACCAGAGCGTGGGCGATCAAACTTTGCGCAAATTTTCACGGCGAACCAAGCTGTCTTGCCGGGACCGCTTACGCTTCGCTTTATCATTTCACTCGCGAAATTAGATTTTTCATTGCCGTCCGAGCTAAGAGGAAACGCTTCCGGAATTATTTGCTTGATTTTATTATGATACAAGTATATTCGTTTCTTTTATATCTGGATTGTATAATTTTGCTTTTGTATAATTTTTGTAAAATTCAATCTGACAATCTATCACATTGAGACCTTCGTGTGACATTGGAAACCAACAATTATTATATTAGAATTGTGTGTGCAAACGCTAAATTTGGAACGAACCCCTCTATTTTCCGAGAATATATTATATAGGATGTATCGTAATTATGTTAACAGCCGGAAATGAGGAATACCTGAGGTCATTCGAAGTAACTTTTTCCTTAGCGAAAATGGAATTCGCGGCTTTCTTTACGAGTTATTAACGAAAAACAGTGACCAATAGGACGCGAGATTAACTGGCGCGAGGAGGCTCGTTGGCTCGGCCGCCTAGCATCAGCCGAGCTCGTCTCTCATTGGTCAGTATTTTTCGTTAATAAGTCGTAGTCAGAGCCGCGGATTGCATTTTCGCTAAGGAAAAAGTCACTTCAAATGACCCCAGGAATCGCCCCTTTATGGATGTTAACATAATTATGGGACACCCTGTACATAAAAGGTGGGTCACCATATATTATTACTTCGATTTACACGATTATTATTACTCGTAGCGGAAAATGTTTCAGAGGAGATTCGAATGATATCGAGTGCAGCATATTCTGGTGCTATTAGTTTCTTTGTGAGCGAGCGCTTAAAGGTCATACGAAGGTCAACTTTAAAAAAAAATGAAACTATGCATTTTTTAATACATTAACGGATGCAGTACGTTATGCAGTACATTAGTTATGAAAATGTATGTAGAAAAGAAGACATTTGGGAAATTTAAGTAATATTACCGAACACAACCAATTGTTTTTGTTACGTTAATGTTGGTAAATGCAAAGATAACGTCTTACCGCCACAGCGATGGTAACTTATAATTATTTAAACTGAAATATCAGCTAAACTATCGACTTTTCAACATATGTAGGTTAATACATTTTCATAACTGATATCGAGGTGCATCCACTGATGCATTGCAAGATACATCATTCCATTGAAAAAAACAAGGTTGACCTTCATATGACCTTTATGCGCCCACCTACGAAAAAATTAATAACTCCAGAATATGCCCAACTTGATACCATTCAAATCTATTCTGACACATTTTTCTTTATGAGTAATAATAATCGTGTAATGAAAGTGGTAATATGTGGCGACCCATTCTGTATGCATTATTAATATCAGTATATATTACATACATTATTAATATCAGTATATGTTACATACATTATTAATGTCAGTATATATTATACACATTATTATTATTATTATTATTATTATGCATTATGCATAATAGATTGTATAATATACAATCTCAATGTTTTAGTATTTATTTACACGTTTGCAGAGAGAGATATATTAAAAATTCCGAGAAGCAACCCCAGGGGATTATTCAAAGGTTAATCATACGATTGATTCTCGTGTACACAACGTTAATATCTTCGTTATACAAACAAGTACAGAAGAACTGAATTACTTGCAATCGCTTCACAAAGAATTCCAGTTAAACGGCGACGAGGCTGTTCGCGCGAAGTCTCGAGTCTAATGAAGAATGTTTGCGTTTCGGAGGGGTAGTTTTTTTTCACCGCGAGAGGAGATAACATTGAATAGGCTGGCAAAGTTTGATAGCCCGTGGTTCTGTCATCCGGCGCAAATTCCTCGGTTGGAACGCGATGCGAAATGACGGGACCGGATCGAGGGCGGAGGCGGGGGCGTGGAAACGGGAAGTTTCGAGCCCCCCTCGCGGCCCCTGCCGTTGTTTCGTTCCGCGGGTAACGAAAGTCACGGAACGAGATCCCCGTCTGCTCCAGGAGCTAGAGATTGAACATCCCTGAACAATGAGCCCATCGGAGCTCGGCTCGAGGCCTCGATTTTCCAGGGGTCTCCAACCTTCCTCCCTGCCTCCACTGTTTAACTATGTTCACGAACTAATCTCGACCGCAACAAAAACATTCTAATTATCTGCTCGCTAGCGCTCCTTGGCAAACACTAGGCCCGATCAAACGAGTCCCGTACTCTCTATCTGTTTCTCTATCAATCGAGTTTTGTTTACAGCGAATCCGTTTACCCTACGCAGCGACAAATAACATTCAGTAGCGTATTCCAACAGCCCCCGTCAGATTTTCTCAGACGGGAGGGTGTCTCGAATCTATCGAAAGCAGTGATTCATATTTATTAACAAAAAGATTGTGGAGTACTCGTGTACCTAATAACAACTATCTGTTATTTGTTCACCCTCGCGGACAGACCGCGGTCGCTCGTGGATATTCATTTTCTACGATCAAATTTCACAAAACTTATCCGATCGGCTGTGCTACCCTCCATTGTTTACGAAGTGTACGTCGTAGAAAAAGTGTCTCGAACAAAAATCGCAGAACATCGAAGGCAAATCGTAGCGATAATTAGCGCAGCGACGAAGCTCTACGGTTCGAGAGACAATAAGGATCGAAGAATATCCGAGAAAATATTGATTTTTCGATTTTTCCAGATGTTACACAGAGTATCTCGAAAGTATGAGATTGCAGAGAGCGTCTCGGAGTATCTCACGAATACCAGAAACGTGTATACTTCCTGTGCAAACTTAAATCGATGTAAGTTTCGTGCGATTTTCTATTCGCTACAGGAGTATGCATTTTTGTGGCGGTCATGCGTTTTTGTCAAACACTCTGCGTTCAGTAAATTCTCTCCAATTTTCTCTTCAGCTTGTACGCAAAAATGGACAATTTGAGAAGAGGAGATACGATTATTCGAGCCTCGCGGTTCGTTTTTATAGTTACGAATTTGCAACGACTATAAAAAACGAGCTACAAGGCTCGAATAATCGTATCTCCTCTTCCTAAATTGTCCATCTTTGCTCAGATTATCCACAAAAATGGACAATTTGGGAAGAGGAGATACGATTATTCGAGCCTTGCGGTTCGTTTTTATAGTTACGAATTTGCAACGACTATAAAAAACGAGCTACAAAGCTCGAATAATCGTATCTCCTCTTCCCAAATTGTCCATGTTTGCGCAGAATCTGAGCGTCAGTTAGGGAGACATTGCTGTACCGTAATGTCTCTCTAATTGACGCCCAGCTTATCCACAAAAATGGACAATTTGAGAAGAGGAGATACGATTATTCGAGCCTCGCGACTCATTTTTATAGTTGCCGATTGTCAAGAATTATAAAAACGAGGCGCAAGGCTCGAATAATAATCGTATCTCCTCGTCCCAAATTGTCCATTTTTGTTTACAAGCTGAAGGGAAATTAGGAAAAACTTGACGAAATCACCTTATTTTTGTTCGCAACATTTTTTCGTACAAACGATCGTTCACAAATAATTTCGGGCGGCAAAATCGAGTGACCCACCCACTACAGTCTTCGCTAGAAGTTCTATTCAGCTACAAAAATTACGTTCATCTCTATCTCGTTCGTTTCTTCGCTTGATTTACTACCCCTGGCAGAAAGTATAACAACACAGTGAAATCTTCACGAAAAAGGATCATTAAGTAACAAAATATAGAACATATTTGAACCTCTTAACTTTCCCACGCAGACCACTAAAGAACGTGTGCTGTATCTGTGGAATAAACATTTCGTTCGAGAAAAATATTAAATAATACATTGAACGCTGGCTCATAAACATTCCTAAAAGAATCTATTGACATACTCTTGTTACAGGAACGAACATACCAGGCTGGCGCACATGAAATATCGAATCCTAATTGTGTACAAATATTTGCGCACCTATATGTATACTTTGAATGTGACCAATAAATGGATTCAAACGGAACAAGTTCTCAAACATTATCAATGTTTCTTTTCCGCATTAAATTTGATGTCTTCAACAAATTCGGATACGAGCAATGGCAATTTTATTATTTAATGAGAGAGTCGGAGATAATTATTTACAAAACGATTCCTCCTCTCCGATTTCGATGAAATTTACCTATACTGTATAGCACGATATTTTGAATAATGCAACAACTATTGCTTTATAAAACGTGTTAGTCTGCTTCAGTTTCTGAGATCTTCGCGAAAACCCGTTTATTGTCTCTGTGAATACGTTACGAGTGTGGCGGGCGATGTAACGGGCGAAGTTTTCAAAACAATATCGTAGACCTAATCCAGGCCTAACTCATACCTAATCTGTACTTATATCGTCCGGAAATGGTGTTTAAAATGCTCTGAACGTTGTAAATAGACGGCGGATCTTATGCATTCATAGCAGAAACGAATACAGCAATGTCTCCCTAACTGACGCACAGATTCTGCGCAAAGATGGACAATTTGGGAAGATACGATTATTCGAGCCTTGCGGCTCATTTTTATAATTAAATAAGTGGACAATTTATAACTATAAAAATAAACCGCAAGGCTCGAATAATCGTATCTCCTCTTCCCGAATTGTCCATTTTCGTGGACAATCTGGGCGATGCAATGTCTCCCTAACTGACGCTCAGATTCTGCGCAAAAAAGGATAATTTGGGAAGATACGATTATTCGAGCCTTGCGGTTCATTTTTATAATTAAATAAGTGGGTAATTTATAACTATAAAAATAAACCGCAAGGCTCGAATAATCGTATCTCCTCTTCCCGAATTGTCCATTTTCGTGGACAATCTGGGCGTCAATTAAAGAGACATTACTGTACAGCAATGTCTCCCTAGCTGACGCTCAGATTCTCCGCAAAGATGGACAATTTGGGAAGATACGATTATTCGAGCCTTGCGGCTCATTTTTATAATTAAATAAGTGGATAATTTATAACTATAAAAATAAACCGCGAGGCTCGAATAATCGTATCTCCTCTTCCAAAATTGTCCATTTTTGTGGTCAATCAATGGGTGTCAATTAGAGAGACATTACTGTACAGCAATGTCTCCCTAACTGACGCTCAGATTCTGCGCAAAGATGGACAATTTGGGAAAAGGAGATACGATTATTCGAGTCTTGTAGCTCGTTTTTTATAGTCGTTGCAAATTCATAACTATAAAAACGAACCGCAAGGCTCGAATAATCGTATCTCCTCTCCCCGAATTGTCCATTTTCGTGGACAATCTGAGCGTCAATTAGAGAGACATCACTGTAGTTGCAGTTCTATTTCTTGCAATTCGTGCAGACAATTTCTATCGTTGCCTAAAAATCTGCAATCTACCTACAACCATAAATATAGGTAAGGAGCAGGTTAGGTCAGGGTTAGGTCTACAGATCTCCGCGAATATCTCAAAAGCTAATGCGAAGCACCAATCTTTACGCAGAAAAAGGTCGTTCGAAATGTCTCGAGCAGCACAACACTAAATCTAAATTCATCTAAATCCCATGAAAATCGAAGCATTTGTAAATAATGATCGAATCCGACGAATTCTACGTGTACCAGCCTAATATCTTCGTTCGCGTCTGCCATTTTTGCCAGGGGCAGCGTGAACCGATTCATACGGATGAATTGTGTGCGAACGTCCGCGGTCTGAAGTCGCGAGCGATCATCGTCCCCTAACTACCTCGACGAGCTTAGGTGAATGTCGTGTCGGTATAATGCGGTCGTACCTGAACTTGTTGGTGGCCAGCTCGCCCAGTTCGTAGAACTTGATCTCCTCGGAGAAGACATCGAGAGGAACGTTGACCGGACGACGCAGCCTGCCGCCGCTCTGGTAGTAGTAAAGTATCGCGTCGAAGGAGGGCCGGTTCCGGTCGAAGAAATATTCGTTGCGAAGCGGATCGAAGTATCGGAGCCGCCGTGACGGATCGCCAAGGAGCGTGTCCGGAAATTGGTTCAGCGTACGCAGCTGCGTCTCAAACCGTAAACCGCTCACCTGTCCGGGATCGAAAGCGATAATCGATTATATGCGAGCACACCGGCGATACCCTTATCCCTTATCCCTAATCTCCCTGTCGCCAGAGGATACCCGACCAATTGGGACACCGGATTAATTTTCCCGCGAACCTCGGCTAATTCGCCCTCGCCATTTTCTTTCCGACACCGGACCTTTCCGTGCACTCTGACTCCGTGGATCCTTGATCCAGCACTCTGCTCGGCCACTTCACCGACCGTCCGCATTCGCTGTGTTGCTACTCGAACGCAGCTTTTTACTTTCCCCGTGCTTTTAATACGTTCAGTGCCGCGCGAGTCACGTATGGGTGACGGTAATTTTTAACCAGGTTTTTGGAATTCATTTTTGTTGTAATATATTGAAATGGCGGAACTGATATTTTCTATGGAAAATGTTCGCTTTCTAGTTTTGGTTTTGTTAATTAAATGACTTCGATATTGTGTGAATTGTTCGAGTTGATGTTCGGTACTTCGTTAAGCGTTAATGATATCGGGACGATGGAAGTGACATGTTTCAGAATTGGGAATTTAGGTGATCGGAGTGGTGCTGCATGTTCTTTGTTTGATAATTAAAACTTATACTTTTGAAACCATCTATGGAAGAAAATCGGAAATGAGAACTGTTGAGCCTTACCTAATATTTTATTTCGTACGACGAGCTTGATCATTGCGTTCGCTTTTATTAATGACACGTCAAGAACCTTGTCGATCACATAAGGGCGACTAATCTGTGTTTGATTAGTCTTCGAACTTCATTTCGATTGCAATATCTTCGCAAAAATTGTATTTCACTAGGTCGTTTAGAATACAAAAAGTTAAAATAACATTTACTACGACTTTGAACTTTCTAGTTTTGGTTTCATTAATTAAACGACTTTGATATTGTGTGAACTTTTCGAGTTGATGTTCGGCACTTCGTTAAGTGATGAGTCTTAATGATATCGGGACACACGCACACAATGGAAGCTTTAGAATTGGCAATTTAGGTGATCGGAGTGATCGGTGATCGATCCTTTAGGATCGAGTTTAAACTTATACTTTTGAAACCGTTTATGAAAGAAAATCGGAAATGTTAAAGTTTTCAATGAGAACTGTTGAACCTTACCTAATATTTTATTTCGTACGACGAGCTTGATCATTGCGTTCGCTTTTATTAATGACACGTTAAGAACCGTATCGGTCACATATGGGTGATTAATGTGTTTGATTAGTCTTCGAACTTCATTTCGATTGCAATATCTTCGCAAAAATTGAATTTCACTAGGTCGTTTATAATACAAAAAGTTAAAATAACATTTACTACGTCTTTGAACGTTCTAGTTTCAGTTTCGTTAATTAAATCACTTTGATTTTGTTCGAATTTTCGGCGCTTAACGCGTCGACGAGGACATTTCCTTGATGTCAAGAATTATGCCAACGATATTGTTCCGTTCGATCGGCAGTGTTTTTCTAGAAATAAAGACCACTCCACGAAAGAGAATCGACCTTTGTTCCCGAGTGCCGAAGCAACGCACCTTTCGGGAATCGTTGAAATAGAGCTCACAGTCGAGTACTCTATCCGTAATCTGATCATCTCGAGACCGGGCGTCTCTCCAAGGAGGATTCTTGCTCTCTCGTCGAATGGCTCATAAATTGGCTAGTGTACGTTCAAGCTGAACGATTTTCACGATCCATTATTCTCTTCTGCGGATCGAAAGAAGCACCGTTTGACGACACTCCGACGAGCACTCCGGTCGGTCGTCGCACCTGCCGGTAATGCCTGTCGTCGCGAATAAATCGGCATGGAAACCTGATTTGTTTTGGCCCAAATGGAACGCCGATGCTCCCGCTCGCGGAAAACTAATAAACGAAACTGGGGTAATTGCGGCCGGCCATTAGGACGATTAAGAAGAAAAAGAAGGAGCATCGGTTAGAACTGTCGCGGGAGCGGGCAACGGGGTTTATCGACGACGCGACGCGTCCACCGGCACCGCCTCCTTCCTCAATCCTGATATTGCGTTACTCGGGGAATTAAAGAATCAAGCCGCTGTGTTCGACGACGACTTGCGACCGCGATGGGGGTTCCTAGCTCCGGAACTCGGCCGACATTTAATAAACGAGCGACTCGATCCGGGATCGATTCGACCGGCCGAGATTCCGATGGCACGCGTCCACCTTTTCGCGACGATCCGAGAGGATACGTCCGACCCGGAGCATAATTCCTTGTCAATTTTAATCCATTAACGGGCTACCGAGCAGCAGCGGTGATCGATGTATCGGCGAGATTAAATTTAGTTGGACACAGAAATTCATTCGATAATCTCCTATGGAAGCGTTATCGTCATTTCACTGTTCTAATTCGAATGATAATACTTCACACGGATATGTCGTTAACGACGTGTCTCACTGTCAGGTGAATCATACTACCGATCTTGGCGTTATTCGTTGCGCGAATCGTGCATCTATTTTCTTCTTAGTTTAGTAATTCTTGATAAAATATCGCGAAACGTCGATCGAAGTTCCGCGATGAAAAGTTTATAGAAAATATTTGAAATAACCGAGCTTCAATTATTGTGGACATTTTGGTGTGTATCCATGCATACAGGGATCGGTTGGTGAAGTTATCATCGTTTTGACACGCGTTTTTGACGATTCATCTATACGTATAGTCCTTTATAAACATGTTCAACAAACGAGATTTCGTTAACCCTTTGTCGCTTCTATCTGATGTACCACTCGTAGAATATGATGACCACGTTTTTGTAAATAGAGACATTTAATTTTATCGAGCCCGAGTGAAATTTGATGTCTAACCAAAGATATGAAATATTCTAAAAAATAAACTATAAGAGTCATCGTTAAAATCATTTTTGATCTAATTTTTAATAACTTTTTACATAGAACGATCTCTTCGCGACAGAACGCAAAACAAAAGAAAGATTTCGAGGAACGAATAAACTTTCTCATAAAATGAATAATGATGTATTACAAGCTTTTTGCAAAGACAGCTTCTTCGCTTGTTTTCGAGCAACGACAATGGATTTTTAGGGTACAGATTTTAATGTATAACGATACAACGCATGTTCGTACTTATGGATATGCAAAAGCCATTTGCGGAAACGCAACGAATGGATTCGCGCGTTCTAACCAAAGAACAAATATTGTAAAAAATAGACTATAAGAGTTAAAAATCATTTTTGATCTGATTTTTAATAATTTTTTACATAGAACGATCTCTTCGCGACAGAACGCAAAACAAAAGAAAGATTTCGAGGAACGAATAAACTTTCTCATAAAACGAATAAGGACGTATTGCAAGCTTTTTGCAAAGACAGCTTCTTCGCTCGTTTTCGAGCAACGACAATGGATTTTTAGGGTACAGATTTTAATGTACGACGATGGAACGCATGTTCGTACACAAGGATATACAAAAGCGATTTGCGGAAACGCAACGAATGGATTCGCGCAATTAGGAATTCTCCCGTGCGAAGAAAATTCCGTCGACTTCCACGAAATCGAGGTGCAACAGCAATCATGTTAGGAGCTCGCGGTTATTGTTCCCCGAGTATTACGAGAACGGTTCTCTCGACGCCAGGCTAGGGAGGGGCGGAGAGAGAGCCTAATCGCTGTCGCGGATGAAATATACAATTCCATTTCCTTCGGGTCGTAGGCAGGGTGGTTAAGGTTTCAGGAACAGAGCGGCTCGACGTCGCGACGCCGATTCGCGCAGCGTCGCGAGGACCGACGTCGTCCAGAACAGAAATTGGTTTGCACCCGCGACGGCGCGGTGCGGACAAACGCGCGTGTAACACGCCGCCCGGTCGATATTTAGTCTCGTTATCGAACATCCGTGGTTGCCCGAGACTTGTTGCGGAAATCGCCTCTCGATCGGTCGTACACAGTAATTTCTCCCTAATTCGCGCTCAGATTGCGCACAAAAATGGATAATTTGGGAAGAGGAGATACGATTATTCGAGTCTCGCGGCTCGTTTTTATACTCGTTGATAATCGGCAACTATAAAAACGTGCCGCGAGGTTCGAATAAAAAATTATCCACTTTTGCCTACAAGCTGCAGGACAATTGGGGAGAATTTACTGCATAAATAATGCAAAAGTATGCTCACGTTGATGACGATCTTCTCGCAAAAGTCGCCCGTGTATCGGGTCAACAATTATGAAAACGAGCCGCAAGGCTCGAATAATCGTATCTCTCCTTCCCAAATTATCCATTTTTGTGCACGATCTGTGTGAGCGCGAGTTAGGTAGAATTTACTGTATTCGTGAATTCGTACCACGAATCGTTAAAAAATTGCGAACTATGATCACTGTTTGCTCTGATCTACCGCGAGACATGGACCTGCGCTGGTTTTGAAATTAGCAAACCTTTGCTACAAAATTTTGGGTAACTTAAAACTCAACTAACGATAGAGTCTAAAATTTTGGTACCTAGATTAAAATTCCTTAACGATGTTACGAAACAAGTGAAATTACATCAAAACAATTTCTCGACCTTTACGCTATGACTTTTTTCACAGCTACGTTTATTAGCCCTTCTTTGTCACTAATAACTTTCTAGACGAGTAAGAAAATTTATATTTATCGGCTGTCTAACTTTTGCTTTAATGTTTAATCTTTTGATGCACCTAACGCTCCAAGCCGCTCCGGATTTAAATATCTGTCTAAACGAGCTCTGTTGCGAGCAGTTTATTTCACGCAAACATTGATTAAGAAGCAAGTGAAAAAATAATTTTAACGATAATTCTTATAGATTATTTTCCGTGATCTTTTTTCTTTGGCTAGACATAAAATTCCGCTCAGGCTCGATAAATTTAAATATCCATTTACAAAACTCGGTGGTCTTTTAAATGGAGCGTCAAAGGGTTAAACATTGATAACGCAAGAGTAGAATTTTATTTCTATCTAAAGAAACTGCATGACATGTATTTTTAATAGATTAGGTTCTAAATATTCATAACCATAATCTTCTTTGGTATGGATTAAAATGTGTATGCGATTCGAGACAAGTGTAACAGCGTTTCGCAGCAATTTGGAAAGAGGCGATGCAATTATTCGAGCCTTGCGCTTCGTTTTTATAGTTTTTAACGAGCCGAGAGACATGAAAAATCGTATCTTCTCTTCCCAAATTGTTCATTCTCGTTCACAAACTGAAGGACAATTGGGGAGAATTTACTGTCCATGGCACCGTGATTTATGGAAGAAAACAGACTTTGTAGAAAGATATCTAAACAATTTTGTAACATGCTGTTCTTTATCCTGATATCTTTTCCCGACGAAATACGTACAGATTTGCAAACCGAAAAATGTTTAAAAAATCCCTGTGCATATCTCGGAAGCAGACAAAGCTTCGTTTTTATAGTTTGTTGACGGCGAGGCTTGAGAAAGCGCATCTTCTCTTCCCAAATTGTTTCCTTCTTGTTCACAAACTGAAGGTCGATTGGGGAGAATTTACTGTCCATAGCACCGCGATTTATGAAAGAAAACAGATTTTGTAGGAAGATATCTAAACAATTTTGTTCTTTACCTCCTGATATCATTTCCCGACGAAATACATACAGATTTGCAAACCGAAAAATGTTTAAAAAAATCCCTGTGCATATCTCGGAAGCAGACAAAGCAGTCGAAGCATACAAAAGCCTCGTCGAAATCCCCCAGAATTCAGTAGAACGCGTTGAATAGCTGGAGACAGGTTCGAATCGGCGAAGGCCGATCGATCAAGGGGATCAATCCGCGAAAAATCCGCGAGCGAGGATCGGACGGCTGTTGTAATTGGCGCAATGCAGTCGTGTCATCCACGAGGACAGATAATTCCGTTCACACTATACGACCTTGGTACTATATCGCCTCTGATTCCAAGACGAACTTGGCCGGCTGCCAAAATACGGTCTGTAGGTCACTTCGTGTCTTGAGATAGTCTTGTTTCTTCGAAAAGAATGAAATAGGAATGGCTGGACAGCGAGTATGCGAACCGGCGAACCGGTCGCGGATCGATCCGAATGCGGATCGTTCTTAGTCGAGCATGGAGCCATCGTAATCCCGATAGTTGACGATCGCACCGGGGCGACACACACGAATCGTGTGTTCGAGCGGATCCACATTTCTCTCTTTCTCTCCTCGCTCCGTCTCGGACTTCATTCCTTTTTTCTTCGGCGCGTCGGGTCGGGTCGGGCCGGGCGACAAGTACGCTTCGTTATTCCGGACAATTGATATCGAATACGGGTCGGTGGATTTCGCTTTTTTTCCCCCGCTATCGTTCATTTTCTTCGACGGGCGCCACCGACGCGACCAGCTGAATTTCGACTCCAATTATCCGCCGATAGACCGGCCGACGAGATATGAAACGACGCGGCACCCCTTTCGAACACGACCGTGCAGAAAAACGCAAGCTGAAATTTCGATTAATTCGATCGGTCGACGCCATTAAGCCTCGTAAATCGGTCCCCGCCCGGAGCCGTTAAATACTTCCGATCGAGTTCCCGGCACCGAGTATTTGTCGCGTCTCGTCCTATTAGTGGATTGCGGCCAGTTCTTCCGCCTGCAAAGTTCCTGGTAACCGAGGAAATTCTGATTTTCGAGTCTGCCATTATTCAACCGGACCGATTACGATCGTGCGTATGATCGAATGAAAGCTTTTTGGTAACAGAGGATTTATTGTTGTGACATCGAAAACGAAAACTTTTATGAAAAGAAGGATTGCTAAATTTTTCATTTATTAATTCCATGCTGTAATTTATTCGTAGTGCAGGCTTTTAACCCTTTGCACTTGGGTGGTGACTCTAAGGCATCACTAAAATTTGTTGTATCACGTTCTAAGATAATTTTTACATTAACAAAGTTTACATTTTTAAGAATTGTTAAAAGTGTAACCGTTTTGTAAGTAGCGAGGCTCAATTTCGCATGCACAAAATGCACTTTATCATATAAGATAAAAATACTATAAGTCAGAGAAATTATTTTAGATTTACAGTTAAAATAGCTTCGAGTGCAAAGGGTTAATAATAACTTGTTAGGTACGAATGTTATTCGGTTCTATTAAATCCGTATATTTTGTTATCAATATTCAAGCATTCAAGTAAATCTTGGAACACGATAAATATATATTTCCTTTCTCTTCGAAGAAATTGTTACGATTGAAAAGCTTCTAATCGTTACAACTATGAAGAAGACGGTACGCTGAGCATGTATGGCAAATATAAGCAAGTAGAATATAAAATTATGGAGACGTAAGAAGGGTTTACTATAATTACTACACTATTTTCACCTTACCAAAATTACTGAGAGAAACAATCAATTTTTTCATAATTTCTGTTTCTTAGAATCGTCTTTAAAAACGTTTATTTTGCATAAAAATCCAAATATTGACTATCTTTAAGACAAATCTCAAATGCAGCCATCTTCCAAGGCCTCAAATTCAATTTTCGCAAAGTTTACACAGAATTAATGCACGCGTATCGAAGTTCCGACAATAGCAAACAATTGCGAAATGGAAGAAAAATGAAAACGGGAACGGAAACGTTTGAACGATTCGGCTCACCGACACTCGATACGTATCGATCAATGCCCTCCGAGCGCGTGAACGATTCGCGGATCGTATTATGGTCGTAAACATCCCTCTTTCGACGCAGGAGTCATAAATGCAATCCCCCTCTTCGAAATTAGCCATAATTTAGTGGGATAGGAAGTCGAACGCGTGATCGAAACGGACCACTGTTGACCCTTTCGCAGGCTTGTTTTCTTAGGCAGGCGTTTGCTACCGTTACACGGATTTTACGAGTGCCGGTAAATAAGACGTGACGGCGATCGGTAATTGTGTTTGAGAATTGAGCCACGGTTTCGTGCTGTTTCATCATCGCGTCTGTTCCAAGTTCATAAACCGATCACATTTTATTGAGTATCGAACGCTGGCATATGGTACAGTTACCTGGCAGAACATGATTGTAAGTTAACGCAGATTCAAATTTTTGATTTTACCTAATTCGTATTAGACGTTCATTAATTCGTTGTAAGATGCAGCGAATGCATAGAGAACGGTGCAAACTATTTTCAAAATTAGCCTGTATTTCCTTATATACAGAATGTCCCAAAAACGTCTCGCAAATGAAAAGTCTCATTTTCACTCTCGGAAATGAGAAGTTCCTGGGATCATTTGAAGTAACTTTTGCCTTAGCGAAAATGCAACCCGTGCCTTCGGTTACGAATTATTAACGAAAAACACTGACCAATGAGAGGCGAGCTCGCCTAGCGCTTGGCGGCCGAGCCAATGAGCGCGCGAAGCCCAATTTCCCTCATTGGCTCGGCGGCCTTGCGCCGGCATATCTCACCTCTCATTGGTCACCCCTTTTTTTTGTTAATAACTCGTAAACAAAGCCGTGGATTGCATTTTCGCCAAGGACAAACTTACTTCAAATTACCTCAGGAATCTCCCATTCTCGGATTGCGAGATATTTCTGGGACACTCTGTATATATATATAAGTAAGTAATCTATATATATATATAGATTACTTACTTATATAGATTATATAGATTATAGATTATATTATTATTATTATTATTATATTATTAATAATATAGATTATATATAATATATAATCTAAATATATATATAAGTAAATAAATAAATATATATTTATTTATTTATTTATTATATATTATTATTATTATTATATATATATATACGGCTAAACACCCATTCTTTTCAAGGACAAAAACAAAAGCATAAATAGTGATGAACGGCGGAGAATCAACGAATCACGTTAAAAGGACGAGGGATATTATAATTTTTAATCGTTAGTTCTTCGAAACTAATTGAAAGTCTAGGTAATGTCCCTTCTTAGACCCATCAACATCTTTAAAAAACCATCCCTTGTTTTTCATTATATCCTCAGCCCTTAATATTCTATTTAACTCGCTTCTAAAAATTCCATAGAATTCCAACATATTCCAAAGAAAAATTCCAAAAGTCTAAGCAACGGTGTCCCAACGGCGCAGGTAAACAACGCGACGAAAATTAAATGTATACAATGAATTCTCTGCAATTGTCCTTCAGCTTGTAAACAAAAATGATTAATTTGAAAAGAGGAGATACGATTATTCGAGCTTTGTTGATAATCGGCACCTATAAAAACGTGCCGCGAGGTTCGAATAATCCCCTCTCCTAAAATTATCCACTTTCGTCTACAAGCTGCAGCACAATCGGTGAGAATCGACCGCATAAATAATCGCAAAAGTATGCTCACGTTGATGACGATCCTCTCGCAAAAGTCATGATCGTGCGGTATGGGCTCGAAGTGCGTGACGCCTGTGTATTGGGTGTGGGGGTTTGGCCCATCCTCGTCCTGGCTGCTGAGTTTCGGCAGCGATCTGGAAAACAAACAAGATCGGATGAGATCACCGCAGTCCTCGTGCGCGCTCGCATCACCTACGGGGATATACGTACCACAACCAACAACATCAACAACAAGAACAATAAGAACAATAACAACTGTACATCGTATAGAAAGGGGAGGAGCACGTAGAAAACGAGAAACTAGGTTGCGACTAGCTCGGTACTAACTAAGGCCCTGTACCCAAGCTGTTCTCTTAATGAGCTACTAGACAGGTAAGTCGGCGGTAAGGTCGACGGCCCGACGGAGCCTTGTCCAAGCTCGATGGATCGTTCGAGCTCGCGCGGATCGATCGAGGATCGCGGCTCGGCACGGATCGATCGCCAGATTCTGGTGCACACAGGACAGCACTAGGCGGCGTACCTACTGGAATGCGGTCGTTAATTAACAGGCTACTGGACCAGGAAATCGCTAGACGATTCTACCGCGAATTGGATCGCCGAAAGACAGACAAGATGGCGGGATCTGGATTGCGGGTCCTTTCACGATCGGCTGGCATTGGCGATACGTACGGCATCGAAGTTGCCCGACCCGCCTCGGCGAAGAAAGGCTGGGACCCGTTTCCGAAAATATTGCGGGCCGCCGGTCGCCGATTGCCGATCGCCGATCGGCAGGCAGGCTGCCAACCAAACACGCGGATCCCGATCGACAGAACATCGGAACGGCGACGGCAGTGCCGCAGGCTCGCCGCCAACACTCCGCCGACACTGTTTTTTTCCTCTTCGTTGTCATTTTTATCGCGCAGTTGCAGCCGGAGCTGCGACCTATCGCCTCTAAATCGTGCATCGACCGGCGACGATTCGACAGTTTCGCCGCGCCGGAACCGTCGGTTCGCTTCCTAGCCACGCTGTCTTCGGATCACGCCTTAATCCTCGGACAATGGCGGGACCCTTGGCTCCGGGAAACTTTCCGACAACGAACTCTCGACGAACACAGAGAGTCGGCCGACCTCCGATCGAAGATCCTCTTAGCGTCGGAGGAATTTTCGGGGTTAGAAGCCAACCCCATCTTTCTCTGTCCATCGTCGAGGCTGTTGTCAAAGGCCTCGACGGTGGCTGGAGCTCGGCAAATTTGAACTTTCGTAAAGACGATTTTTTGCTTGTCGAGGCGCTAGTCGTTAATTGTATTATATAATTGAATATGCGAGTTTATTTATTATTCGAGCCGATTGAACGACGAATAAACGGATTATATAGTGTATTTAATATTTTATAATAATATTTTATATAATTAGATTATAGTATAATAATCCGTTTAATAATAATAATAAATAATAGTATAATAAACGGATTATATAGTGAAGATAACATAGAAACGGCAGTATTTTGTAACGTTTTTTGGTAAATTTATGTTGCACTATTAAGTTTTAAGTTTATAGTTTCACTAATTAAATGATTTTAATATTGTCGAAATTTTTGAGGTTGATATTCGGCAATTAACGTGTTAACCCTTTGCTCTCGAGTGGTGACTCTGAGGCACCAGTGCAATTTGTTACATCACGTTTTAAAATAATTTTTATATTAACAAAGTTTAGATTTAAAAGATTGCTAAGAGTGCAATTATTGCGCGAGTCCCAAGAGTCAATTTCAAGTATTATAATAGAATTATGTTTCAAGTGTTATAATAAAATTATATTTCAAATATTATAATCGAATATTAATCTCAATTTTTATGATAGAAAAACTATAAGTTAGAAAAATGATTTTATATTTACAGTTAAAATAGCTTCGAGTGCAAAGGGTTAATAACTACCTTGATCGATCGAGACAGTTTTCGTTTTCTGTATGTCTTCTTTTCATTTCATTCAGATTTTGATAACGGACAAATCAAATTTTGTTTTGATTAATAAGAAACCGAATAGCATTCATATTTAGCAGCACATTATGCGTGAAAATCTTCGTGACTGATTAAAATTTCTTTCACATGAATTTTACTTCCGGATTCTGTAACGTTCTTTATAATCTGCTTAATACAGGGCAAATAGTTAGATTTACTTCAGTTAATATGTACGCACGAGATGCTGCTCGTAACAGGATCGATTATTTCTAAATGCCAGCCAAGTTATTCTTCGACTAACGAGATATTATGTTACATAATTTACATACAACCTGTTATAGGAAATACAGTGTAACTAAAAGTTGGCGTGTGTTACAAACATGCCACGAAAGATTTCCAGGAAATCTTCCTTGCGAAGCAAAATTCATTTTCGCTCGGCAAGTTGTTTGAGATAAATAATTAAGGGTAATTAACAAATAATAATTATTAATAATAATAATATTATATATTATTATATATATTATATAAATATTATTAATAATAATAATTAAGGATAAGTAAGTGAATTGGAGTATATATTATTATATATATTATATATATAAATATTATTAATAATAATAATTCAGGGTAAGTAAGTGAATTGGAGTCCGCGATATCCGCGCTGGAAGTTTACTGAATATATTATTTATTCGTACACGTATGTCGAACAATTGTTATAACTGCATCTTAATTACACTTTTCGCCCTTCGTGGAAACTGGATTCTGTATCAAAGACTCGAACAATAGGAATAATTAGCAATATATCCTGATCTTTTGTACCACAAATAATGAAACGATATATTTGCTACCTCTGTGTCAACATTCGTCCTCAAAGGTTTAATAAGCCCCTATCATAATGAGATCGCTATATCCATCATCCGTGCAATCTACAGTAACTCCACTTGATGTCGAGGAGTAATTTAGGGCCGCAATGCGCATATGCGACCGCTTCAAAAAGGATTATAGAAGCAGCTAGAAATAGACCTTTCGCAGAAATATTTTCAGCATCGTTTAACATCCGAAAGAATGCTGAATACCCGGCAATGCTTAAAAATAACGTAAGATCTTTAAGAATGGAGGCTGAAGACCCCTGGGGCATAATGAATAGCGTATAAGTAACGGTGCTATGAATTTGGACCACGGAGGTGTTCCGCAGGGCGAGGCGGCAAGACGCGAGAAAGAAAAAGGAGCAAGAAAATGAAAAGTGGAAGGGCGACGTGCCGCCAAAGAGCATCTCCACGTTCCACTTTGCGGAGGCGGCGGAGGCTCCGGGTCGATTCCCAGCGTTGCTCCCGCTATTTCCCCGCGGTTCCACGCCAAAATTTATTCCCCGACATTGCCGAGGTGAACAGCATCTTAAAGCGCCAGTATTCGGAACGTATAAACCGGAAAAATCGGTCAAAGCAGTTCCAAACAGCGTTTCCTCCGCGGTATAGTTCGACGGAAAATATCTAGATCATCGTTCCGCGAGGAAATCTGTGATTCAGAGTGCGCCATGATAACACGCTATATATAGAATCGGAATAACGCGGGAGGTTTATCGGGTCAACTAGGCCAAGAAAGGCGCGCCGGGGCGACGCTGTGCTTTCGACTTCCTTGTCCCAGTTCCGTCAAAAAAGTGTCTCGGGGTGGCGCGGCTCGGCGACCTTGGCGCGGCAGAGTCGCAGCGTGCATAAATATAATCAGTGATCGGCGCCAAGCATTCGTCGAAGGTGGCAGGCCTGTTATCACGCGACAGTGCCAACCGTTTCGCCCCGCGAGACAAATGTTTCTCGCTTTCGTCGGGAAGGTCGCGACCGATTCCAGAAATAAAGGGGGCAGATTAGCCGGGCCACGCTAACAAAAGATAGGAGTCGCCCCCCCTTCCCCACCGCCGGCCAATCTTTCGGCTCGTAAGCTCTCTTCCGTGGCCGGCACTCGATGCCGGATACCGGAGGAGCTTTCGCGCCAGCCGCAAATTTCGCCACGAAGCTGTGCTCTTGTTCCGAGGCAGCCGGCGACCAGAGAAAGCCGAGCTTTCTTCTTCGAGAGCTCGCCAACTATGGACATTGCCCCGGGACTCCCGTTTCCCTCGCAAAGATGTTGACTTCCCGAAGTCACCGTCGTTGGACATTGCTTCGGCTCCGCCCCCCAGAGCAGCCTCTAATGAAACTCGAAGACTCCCCGATCTCGTGACCGTGCACGAAGTTCGCAGGCTAGTGTGAAGCGAGGGCTTCTACCCGAAGATAATTCCTAGACCCTTACGTCACCTCCTGAATTACCTATAGTAATGAATTACCTGAATTACCTGAGTTACCTATAGGGTTCAACCTCGAACTTGCACATCAGCTCTCTGACTCACCACTCATCAAACATGGCCTTTAAACTTCAAGCTTCTTACATCCCCCACCCTGATTTGTCTTCGAGTATATAAGACCCCAAAACACGCAATAAACAGAGTCATTTTAACACAAGAAACCTGCACACCTTAACTTCGCTCTCCGAAGGCTAGCACCGCGCATCTCGATCTTTTACGGCTGGGAGACGTCGATGGCAACACCTTCGCCGATTTAAGCGCGACAGCGGATGTTAGTGCACAGCACTGATGTTCTTTATGACACGAACGTGCCTAGCCGGCTGTTTTTGAGCTTAGGATTTTTAATAACACCTGGTATGCATTTTGGACGTAAAGTGTTCGCCGGCCGAGAGTACGCATGCTCTATCGCTTGATTTTTGGGACTTCGCTTCTCTCGACCTCGATGGCCAGGACGTGCCATAAAGAAGGAACAGTTCCGAAGGGTCAGCCTGACATTGTTTTATGACGGTGATGCCTGAAGGAATTTTCCTACCTTTGCCAAAGCCTTGCGGCCGCTCCCACCTCCCATATACCAGCACCCTCCCAGAAAGACGCGTTAAGGGCGCAAGGGAAGGGTGTCTGCTTTAAAACAGACTCGCCGATTGGCTATTGCCAAAAATCAAGGAAAACCAATCAGCGAGTATTAGAAATGCGTTGGAGGGGTAGCAGTCTACCGCGAAGGAAAATATTCTCTAATAGAGCAGAGTTGTAACAGAATTCGTAGAACTAAGACCTCCTGACCAAGGGTGCAGTGTAGTCGCGGGCCGAGTACAAAACTTCAAGCAAAATCCGATTCCTTATTTTTATATACAGTCCACATATATCGC